AAACTCAACCTGTGACTTTCTTGGAGAAGAGAGACTTTTTTAAAAAAATGCTAGTTCAACAGCAATTGAGTTATGTCATCACTGCAAGTTCTAAGGGCCTTTGAATTGCAGGAGCATATTTCTGGCGAATGTACAATTTATTTTATTTCTATTCCCATCTCATCAATAATTCCAGGCCTGGGCCTTCTCTTGCCTCTCCTGGTTATCTTCTTCTGCGCAAATCACAAGCTGGTTTTAGTATGACCACTGGGGAGCTAGGAGGAGAATGGTAAACAGAGGATGTTCCACTGTAACTTTGCAAGACCCAAGAGGGAATAAAGGTTTCTCAGTGCCTCCAGTTTTTCGCCGCTTCCATCCGTCAGAACCAAGCTGTTAGCAATTAAAAGGAATTATCTTCCCCCTGGTTTTGATTTGATTGCATTTGCGTTTATAGCAGTTTAGCTAACAAGCTGCAGGCAGACTGCTGCAGGAAGTATCTTACGCTGGGCAGTGAATGTTCACGTCGTTTTTTGCTTTCAGGTTCTATTGTCACACTGATTTTAATTTTTGTTTTCATTTGGCTTGTTTTAAGTGTTGGTTAAGGTGTAGTGTGGGAATGTTACCTCTTCCATTTTGGACCTAGTTTACTGTCCACAATGATATATCTCTATCTCTATGTCTCACAGCGATCCCACTCTAGCAGTTGTGCTCTAGGGATAGTGAAAGAACTTAGCATCAACTCTGGCCTAGCCTTCTGAGAATGGCAGACAAAATGCTGATAAACCACCGCTGAGCTCTTGGAAATGTTAGGATAAGAGTGTCTACCCCAGCTGTTTTTAGTGTGATGTCTATACAGTGAACAGCTTGTGTCATCTGCTTCTCATCTCATGCCAAGAACCAGCCAGTGTAAGATTGTTCTGTATGGTAATCCAGTATTAGGATTTGAAAAGCTGGTAAATTACAGATCCTATTTTCTGCTCCTCCTCAAACCTGCCAGATATTGTACTTGTTCTGTCTTAGATCATCCACATTTTAGCCTAGCTCAGGCCCCGCTTCACTAGACCCTAGCTCTGCTGCACTTGTCTTAGAATGGGAGGGGTTGTAGCTCTGCTTTGGTCCTGCATTTGATTCCTGATATCACATTCATATCACACTTGGCCCTCCAGATGTTTTGGGACTATAACTCCCATCAACCCTAGCTAACAGGAACAGTGGTCAGGGATGATGGGAGTTGTAGTCCCAAAACATCTGGAGGGCCGAATTTGCCTATGCCTGCCTTAGACCTTGGAGAACTGCTGTCAGTCAGAGTAGACAACACTGTGCTACTAGGATGAGAAGTTGTATATTCTGGAAGTGTATACTCGACCAGACTAAGCCTCCTAGAGCAAAATATACACCAGGAAGCTTGGTTTCTCAGAATCAAGTATACATTACTTCTGGTAAATCAGCCACCATAGCTGCTAGAGGGCTGTGAAAATTTGTGTCCTGGGTCTATTTTAGACTCGTCTACCTATATGCCATCTGAAACCAAAGGGGCACTTTGGTTGCCAGATGTGAATTTTTTCCAGCTCTCCTACTCCACCAATTGGTTTCAACTGGATTTTACCCATCTACCTCTGAATAGCATCACACTGGCACAAGACTTACTGTAGCAGTAGATGCACACAGACACCCTTGTCTACGATAGACTGAGTTTGGCTAGGTAGCACAAAATGCTTGGCTGACTTCTGCAGCACTAACAACTATCACAGGATTCCCCAACCTTGTGCCCACCAGGTATGGTTGGATTCTAAATGACGTCAGCCCTAGGCAGCATGGCCAATGATCAGGGATGAAGGGAAGGGAGGAGACACTGTTATTTAATATCTAAGGGTTTGTTCACACACCCAGCCCTAGTGTGAAGGTCATACACATCAAGGGTGAGCCTCTGGTTCACATGCCCTCCCATAGTGTGCATATTCCCTCTGATGTTAACCGCATTTATTCATGGAAACCTGGGGCTACTTACATTTGTAGGGCAGGTCCCAGAAAGTATTAATTCTTTGTACAGTGTGGATCACAAGCTTTGGGCTCACTGCTCCACTGTACCTTAAGTGCAACCTATGTACCAGGGCAGATTCATGCAGGGAACAACAAATGAGATAACTCAAAACATGATGCCCCACTGCATGGAAACTCGATACCATTTTGCAGTGCTTTTGTTTTGGGTAAAAAATGAGGTGCTGTATTTGATGGGAAGGAACCAGAAATAGAATTATGCTAAGTGTGGATCCACTATAGTCTACATTTATGAGAGCTGAACAGTCTAGTAGTCCTTAAGGAAGACTTTGTATTGTACATGCAACACAGTGTCCAGGTGTTGGCAAGATAGGTTCTTTTTAGCCAGTAGTGTCTATGAAACACTAGCATCTTCAGTAGTAGTAAATCACTGAAAATTTTGGATTAATCCTGTGCCCTCTCCAAAGGGAATTTAAAGCAAGAAAATACTAAAAAAAAAAACCACTTTCAGTGACTGAATTGCTGTCTCTGCAGTGTGCTGTCGTTTTGCTCTGGAGTCTATCAAATTAAAGATTGAAGCTGGCATAGAAGTTGTATATTTGATGGGATTTACAGGGAGGATGTTTTATGGAGCTTCTAGGAGCTGTTTGGATATCCTACAGTGGAGGTCTGCAAGGCACATGTAGCATGCCTAGCAGTACCTGATTTTCTGTAAGCTTTCTGAGATTATTGGGTAGCTCATCACTTTTCACCAGGCCCTGGAAGTTCATAGAAGTGATCTTATGAACATGGTTTTTACATGGCTGGGAACATCATTTGAAGTTCATTTATGTCTTTCCAAGACAAGGTGGACTTGGCTTCTGGTATTACCAGATTGGGTTACTGTAATGTGCTCTGTGCCTTGAAAACAGTCTAGAAATTTCATTTCGCCCCAAATGTGCAACCAGACTTTTGAGGTTGGGTACTATGTGAGAATGATGACAGAGAGGGTGTTTTTCAGTAAACAGTGCAAGTAAATGTGTGTCTACTCACAAGCAAGCCCTACTGAATCTAATGAGGCTTACTCCCAGGAAGGTAGAAGTTAGTTTAGTTGAACTCAGTGGGGCTTATGCATGCATAGATTCCACCTAGACCACTGAGTGGGCAAGCAGATGCAACTTGACTAGTAAATCACTTAAACTACTCTTAAATTAGTTGAAAATATATTAAATATATTATATGAAAGTTTATTGAATATTTTTTATTAAATGTACTACTTCCTTACAGTTTAAGGGCCTCCACCGCTGCAGGGAGCCTCTTCAAGGCTGTTGTAGGGAAGTGTGGTGCACCCTCTGCCACCGCAGGGAGGTATGGTGGGGCCCTCTGCCACTGTGGGGAGGTGCAGCAAGACTCTGCTGCTGCGGGGAAGCACGGCTCACCCTCCACTACTGTGGAGAGGTACGATGGGACTCTCTGCCACCACAGGGAGGCATGGCAAGGCCCTCTGCTGCTGCAGGGAGATATGGTGGGACCCTCTGCTGCCATGGAGAGGCATGGCAAGGCCCTGCTTCTGTGGGGAAGTGCGGCCCACCCTCTGCTTCTGCAGGGAAGTACGCCTGGACCCTCTGCCATCGTTGAGAAGTGTGGTGCACATTCCACCACCGTGGGGAGGTGCAGCGGGTCCCCCTGATTTGTAGGGAGGCACACCCTCTGCTTCTGTAGGGTGGTATGACGAGACCCTCTGCCATCGCGGGGAGGCCCAGCAGGGCTCTCTGCCGCCACAGATATATATCATGATATATCGAGATAGTGATATTCAGCTGGTGATATATCATGATATTGAAAACCAGATATTGCCCAGCCCTAATCACTAAATGACTTAGGGCCAGATTATGGACCACTTGCTCTGATATAGGACTGGCCAATAATTAAGATCAATGGCACAGCCCTTGCTTGGAAGATCCAGCAAGTGAGCATTAGGCAAAGGGCCTTTTCTCTGCTGGTGCTGCATCTCTGGAATGCCCTCCCAGTAGAAATTGGTCAGGCTTCCTCTTAGTGTCTTGAAAGACACTTTTGAAGAAGCTGCTCTTTCTTCTAGTGTAACACCTAGTTTTATTTCTGCCAGTTTTTTAACGGCCTGGTTTGGACACATCACTTCAGCCAGATCATGACTAGGTGTGGATTAGTGAGCTTGTGGGCACTTGCAGCCAAAATGGCTCCTACCCTGGTCCTGCTGCTGTTATGTTACCCAGAGCTAAGGCATGGCTTGACTTAGCATTATATTTGAACCTTGCTTGTGATTTGCCCTGCTACAGTTGAGCTGTAGCCAAAGTTTGCTCCTGGCTTACCACTCATGATTTGTCTGTGTGATACAAACTGTGAGTCTGAGCTCAGATGTAATGCTAAGTCAAGCCATGTCTTAGCTCTCACTGGCATCACAGCAGGGGGGCGGGGGGGGAAGCAGCTGTGATATTTGCTGTATCTGCTCAGCATTGCTTGCAAACTGGGCCAATATGTGACATCTTTTATCCCGCCTGCTGTTAGATTTTTTTAAAAAAGTGTTAATTGTTGTATTCCCCCCCCTTTTACTGCTTTTTATGAAATATGGTCAGTTGTAGCTGAACTTTTTATTTATAATATATGGTTTTATTGTGTTGCATGCTGCTCTGAGTATTTTTAGTTGGCTATATATTAGTATTACTATATTAGTGGCTGAATATGAATACAGTGGTACCTCGGTTTAAGAACAGTCCTGTTTAAGAACAATTTGGTTTACAAACTCCGCAAAACCAGAAATAGTGTCCTGGTTTGAGAACTTTACCTCGGTCTAAGAATGGAATCTGAACGGTGGAAGGGCACCGGTGGCAGGAGGCCTCATTAGGGAAAGCATGCCTCGGTTTAAGAATGGTTTCCATTTAAGAATTGACTTCTGGAATGGATTGTTTGTAAACCGAGGTACCACTGTAAATAGGTTTGATTTGGCCTGTTACAGACAAGATGAGTGGAATTAACCCTTTTACTCTTTTCTTCCATTGTCTCTCTAGGGCCTGATTGCCAAGAAGTGAAGAATTAGGGGCTGGATCATCTTCGGTACACAATGAAGATTGACTTTGGCTTTTCTGTCCAAGGCGTCCCATGTTTGATGAGTTCACTATCTGCCATGCTTTGCTGCCATCCCCATTGCTTCTAAGAAACCACAGTTTGGAGACAGGCCATTGACTCTCCCTCCATCCTTCACTGAAGACAGCTGGGGTCAGCAACGCAAGGCCACAGCAGGAAACCTCAACCTTTGAAAACAAAACCCACCCGCCTTCTGAATCCCTCGCACCATTTCCTCTCCTTCTAGGATAAAGGCCTCTGGATCCTAAGGGATAGCTGAGATCTTTCCTTGGCAAGGAGAACTTGCCTCTCCAGTCAAGTCTTTCCTCTCTTGTGGAGTTAAACGGCTGTAGTGCCTATTACCAGAGCCATCCTCTCTGGTGTGAGTGGCTTTAATTTTGTTTTTCTCGTAAGGGAGAAGAAAAGAAAGCTTCTTTCAAAAATGGGCTTTACCTTCCGCTCTGCCTCTTTCACCCTGAAGCTGAGCTTGGTGCTGGGCTCCTTGCTCAGCCTCTGTCTTGGACTAGAGTTCATGGGGCTCCCCAGCCAGTGGGCCCGTTACCTCCGCTGGGATGCAAGCACAAGGAGTGACCTCAGCTTCCAGCTGAAGACCAACGTCTCAGCTGGGCTGCTTCTCTACTTTGACGATGGCGGTGTCTGTGACTTCCTCTGTTTGTCCCTGGTGGATGGGCGCATTCAGCTCCGGTTCAGCGTGGACTGTGCTGAGGCCACAGTTGTCACGGATAAGCAGGTCAATGACAGCAACCTGCACTTCTTGATGGTTAGCCGCAACCACCTCCGGACTGTTCTTGTGCTGGACGGGGAAGCCAAACCTGGTGAAGTGCGCCCTCAGCGCCAGTACATGAATATTGTCAGCGACCTCTTTGTGGGAGGTGTCCCGTCAGACATCCGCCCTGCTGCCTTGACCCTCGACAGTGTCCTGAGTGAGCCACCGTTTAAAGGATTTATCTTGGACCTGAAATACGGCAATTCAGAACCCCAACTCTTGGGCCACCAGGGGGTCCGCCTGGACATGGAAGGGCTATGTACAGAGAACCCTTGTGAGAATGGTGGAACTTGCTTTCTCCTGGATGGCGAGCCACAGTGCGATTGCTCAGCCACTGGATACATTGGGAAACTCTGTTCTGAAGGTAAGAGATCATTCATTCTTCTCCTGGGTTTTTGTTCTAACCATATAGCAGTCCAGTGATCATTGGCCTCATTTATTACTGTCTGTTTTAGGATTTCCAAAGACCCTAATGCTCTTCAGAATGACATACGGGAATCCCATTGTTAGCCAGCCATATTAAACTAGAAATCAAAATAGTATAGGAACTGCCATCATTATAACCTGAATCTGTATTCATTTTATTGCTGCACATTCACAGCTTGGATATTAAGGATTCTCCTGTGTTCTGTGCTTTTGGCAGAATTGTAGAATTCATTACTCTTAACCCACCCCACCAGGGCCTGCAACTACCATCTGCCTTTAAAAAAAATAGAAATATGGACAAATGGTTAGTTAGTGGAAAAAGAAACTCCCCTATACCTCCTCCATTTGAGATATGCCATAATAGTTGCAGCACAGATCTCCTTTATGTGGCCAAGGGAGAATGGAAAAAGTAAGTTTATGGGCATTGGGACAGAGATGGCAAAGCTCGAGTGCTTCGTTGAAATTCTCCTATCTGCAGTATTTTGAATGATGCTTAGGTGTGTGCGTGCTGATTGATCTGACCAGGCTGAAGGTGATGGAACAGTTCTGGTGGGAGAGATGGATAAAATGCCAAAATATCATTGGCTTTGTTACTTCAAATGCAATATTGAGGCTCAGTGTTTTGAGATGGGGAAGGACTTTTGGCGTACACCAATTCTGCAACCCTGTTTTTTGTCCTGTTCAAATCTTCCACTAATATAGAAGCGCTCAGAGGAAGGAAGCACTCACCACCACTATATACGCCATAACATTTAGCACAAGGAGTTCTGCAACGAGCTCAAAAACATAGGAAACCTGACAAGTTATGAAACAAACATCAAGGAAATGATTTAATTGATTGTGCCCTTTTGCCTCTGTTTGTTTTTGGTATTTGAGTTGTTTGATTAGTTTTGGGAAACGGTTCTCTTTCTCTCCACCCACCTCTGACTTCCTCCCTCTTCATGATTTCTGATGAAGGCTCAGCCTTACACTTACTTTGTTACGAGCTGTGACTGTGTATCTTCACTTTGGTGTTGCCGGAGGCTGTGCAAGAAGGAAGGTAAAAGAAGGGGTTCAACACTTCCCTCACCCAGAGACAAATGAAAACACATGCCACAAAAGCTATTCAGGGACCAAGAGGAAATGAAAGCCAAGTGATGAAGTTCTCCTTGAGTCCTACCAGTAAGTTGCTGTCGGGTGAAATAATCCCCATTTCCTTTAGCTGGATGAAGACTCGGATCCAGATGACTTTGGCTGTTTTCTAATAATTTGCCTGCTTGTTACCTTGCCCTGCTTGTTTCAGTGCTGGAAGAAATAATTTCTTTGATTCTGGTGTGCAGAAATCATATTTCTGATTTCCCTATCATCATCATCATCATCATCATCATCATGATTATTAATGGCTTTACTTTTCAACAGGGTGGCATCAGCATTAATTCAACCCTCGCTTTGGACCATTAACCAGTTTTTACACCATTTGCCAACCTTTGGATTTCTGCCTCCTTTTGCAGATGGTCACTGGCTTTTGCTGGGAGCTGATGAGCCCCGATCAATAGCTCCTGTTTTAATAGCTAAATGCAACGTGTACCTTTTTAAATAATGAGTTCTCTTGACAGAGTTCAGGCCATTACTTGGCTATTGATTGATACCTGTGTCTGCAGATGGCAAAACCACAACAAGCTCATTATTCTGTGGGTGGGGGGAAAAGATATATAAATAAATACTTAGCAGAACCCCGCTGATAGTGGAGTTCCATTTACAGTATCCCAGATTCATTAATGTGAACAGCAGTTCCAGTTAGTAAACCTCACTGCACAGTAAAATCTCCTAAATAAATACTTGGAGAAATTTTGCAAAGTGCATCACATGTACAGGTGACCGGTTCAGTCAGAGACCATTTGGAGACTGGTGCAGTCAGTTTTGAAAAACAACAACTTTGGGTCATAACTGTGCATGGTAGTGATCTGTTGAATGTGACATAAAAGCCACTACAGGAGCTATAGTGGAAGATAGTGCAAGTTTCGTGCTCATTTCCGTGTTTTTTGCTTCCAGAAATAATTCGTTTGCAAATAATATGGAAATAAGTGCTGAATGTTCACTGTATTCCACTATCTCCCAATATAGTTCTGGAACTGGCTGTAATGGAACTGGATAGAATGTGGAAATTAGCAGTTGGGGAAATTGGATTTGAACGTATGTGTATGATGGTGTGTGTTTGGAAACACAGGTTTATCTTCACTTGACCATGTTTTATATTTACACATACATTCCCATGCATATGTAACACGTGTGTTTGTGATGTCTGGTTTGTCCCCTGTATCCCTGTCAGCATTGGACTGTCCCCAAAGATCACCTCATTCAACCCCAGTGCCTTCCATAGTATGATTTTAATTTGGGTAGGCCTTTCACATAAACTGTAACCACAGCAGGCATGGGGGTCTTGTATCTCCTGCCAGTTCAGTTCGCAGAAGAGGGGTTTCCAGTTTGCACGGTTTTAAGGAGATACACTTCCCAAGCTGCACATCTGGCCCTGAGACATTATTTGGGTTTTGCAGGTGGAGCTGAATGGAAATTCTGTTAAGCGCTTGTGTCGAACTCCTCTGGTGGCAGCAGAACCGTGGAGGCAGCATTGCTGCCAGCTTCACAAAGGGACCTCTCAAAAGCCTCTTGCCTCCCACAGGGGCTGTTTCTAAACGCAGCCTGAATAGGGGCCTGATTGCACCTCTTTCCTTGATTACAGAGCAAGATTTCCTGGGGATGCTGCCTCCTGAATGACAGAGAAGCTTGCCACTCTGTAATTATCACACTTTTAACTGCAGAGTGAACAGATTTCTCAGAAGCCTCCCCCCCTTTTAAAAAATACAGGTTACTGTAGGGCTTACCTTCCACCTGAGCCTTTGACTTGGCCGTGGCTTCCTGTTCCAGATGGGTTTGGATGGCAGCTGCTTGCTTCTCTCTTGCAGGCATGCAGTGCCCTGTTGCCACCTCCCCTCAGTTTCACGACACTAATAACCACTTTGGCATTTTTCCAGGAGCCTGATGGCTGCTCTTAATTTGCATACATTTTGTAATCAAAAAACAAATGAACATGACCATAATATTTGCCTCCACTTGCATCTTCCTTGATGAGTGAATATAAATTGCTTGTTGTTAAGAATTCACCACTGGTAAACAGCCACTGCATTTGTCTGCTTCTTGCCCTGTTGTTAGAGGTTGAGGGCAGACCAATGTCTTCCCCTTCTGGTTGTGATTTGAACAGCTTGGACTTAATTCTCCTGTGGAAAATGGCACTTAAGAATTTTCCTAGTAACCCAGGACTGTACAGTAAATGGAAGCAGGGTGACATAGGCCCTTCAGAGCAATATCAATTATTTTGATCCATGGTGCTGTTTTTTTGTGTGCATCACTTAGGGACGATTCAAACAACCACTTCCTTGTTGTTGTTGTTTTAAATGAGATGGTGACATTATTGTCTAAATGGTCCCAGCTCCCAGTTTAGCAGATGGCTGCAAATGAGAAATGGGGAGCTGAGCAAATGAGAAATGGGGAGCTCTGACTTCATCAGCCCAATAATTTTCCACCTGGGGTGGCAAAACATCATCACGGATGTTGGGTGGAGGAAGGCCATAGAACACTTGTATGAACCAGCTCCAATTAAACCCCTTTTATACTTCCATTCATTCTTCCTAGAGCAAATTTATTTTGCACATTTTGAGGCTGTTTTCCAATCATGTCTTAATTTGATGGTGATCCAGATGGTCACCAGAGAAACAAGACAAACTAATTAATGGCTGCAAAGTGCTTCCAGGCTGCACAGTGCAGCATAAGCACAGTTTGTTGTCATTAATAATAATAGTAAATATCAGAGAGGAAGGAGATCTGCAGCCTTTCAGTCTGGTCCTGAAAGTTGTTCTAATTTACGGCTGATAATTTATGAGGATATAGCACCCTCTCTTAAAACAAAATAGCATGCATATTGTCTTAGGTGCATAGTGTGCGGCAATGGAAGGAGATGAGGGGGGAAATCCCACATTGAGAAGGGAGAGACTACATGGCCAGTAGATCCAGCATGTTCATCAGAAGTTACTTTGCTGGGTCTTACATGTGTGATAGATTTGGAGGGTGTTTTACCATCCTAGTCTGTTTGCAAAGTTCAGAGCATATTCTGTCTTGAACTCTGGACAGGTTTCTCTGTTATATGAGCAATGTTAGGCACTATCATCCATCATACTAGTAAATGATTGTGGACTTCAGATGAACTGTTCCGTGGCATGCTTGCTGTGTGGGCAAGAGATCGCCTTTCTTATGTCACTGGTGAAGATGACTCAAAGGGTTGGTATGCATCTCATCCTTGTGATTCTTTGTGTTGGGAAACTCACCCTAGGCTGAGAAACCGGAGGGGTGATGCAGAGAAGGAAATGCATTCTCCAGATTCATGGCATTCATCTTGCTTCCCACTTACGCTGTGGATCTCAGTGTCTTGGCTGGCAGAAAATGCAGTTTCTAAACTCCTGGGAAGGTAGTTAAAAAATGATATTTCATCAGGGGTTCTGGTGAGCAGTGGGAACCTCACAATTTATAGTAGCACTGTAAGTATCTCATAGAAGAGACTGAGGATGAACAGTCCCTAAAGCATCCAAGAGAAGACCTACACTTCACCTCTGTTCCAACAGCACATTGTCCAGAGAAAAGGTGACTATGCGTCCTGTGATATTACAGATGATCTTTCTTCTGAGTCAGTCCGCCGTCTCCCTTTCCGCTCTTGCCTTTTGGTGTTGGCCATCCCTTTGGTCATGACTGATAACCCCACTGGAGGAAACCAGTAGGGTGTTTAGAGCTCTGCTGCTGTCCAGTGACAGCAACATGGGCTAGAGTGGAATTGCACTGTCCTCCCACAATCCTTCATTGCAGACACATTCGCTCCATTCTTGGAAGTGTTTCATGTTTGGGAACTGCCTG